GGGAAAGAACTGAGGGAGGGAGAAGGAAGAGAAAGGAAGGAGAAAAGAGAGGCTTTATCATATTGCTCATGTTAGCAGTTGTTTTGCCTTGAGCTGGTCTGTGACTGTCTCTTGGAGCACCTCTCCTCCCACTTTAATCATGATGACCTCACGAATCTCACTAATTTTCATGAAAATATTGTTTAATGCTTGAGAATTGTTTTATTCCTAGAAATACGACTCCCATCATTTCTGCACAGTTTGCAACCTGTCCTATTTTACATTTATTTAGCAGTGCACTGGTACACCAAGCGATTGCTGCATGGGATGAATTAAATTATGCTTATTTATAACAATTCAGATAACAACACTGAGCTTCTTCCATGAAAAAAAATATCCATTCTTCCACTGTTTGAAATAATATCACATTAGTGGGGAGAACACGTGGTTGTAATTTTATGTGATGAAATACGTGCAACTTCCTCACAATGAGATTTCATTAGGTCCAAAATGCAGTGCTATTTGTTTGTATTTCATTGATGTGGGTCCCTCATTTTACATGAACACTGTGAGCGTGCAGCCAGTGCATTTGGCTTCATAATGGGTTGGTGTAATGCAGTGCTATTTGTTTGTATTTCATTGATATGGGTCCCCCATTTTACATGAACACTGTGAGCGTGCAACCAGTGCATTTGGCTTCATAATGGGTTGGTGCAAGCCTGCACTCCTACCAAAGTGTGTGATCTCATCTTCCCTCCTCAGCACATCACCTCTTCTGGGGCTGGGGTTCCTGTACCACCAATGCCTTCAGCCATGTCATTGGATTGATCCCCCTGAACAGTGAAAAAATAATGTCACATCTTTGTTTTCTGTCAAGTGGCACAAGTTTAGAATGGCTTAAATTGATTGTGGAATAACCACCTGAGCAAGTGAAACAAGGTGCAGGAAAGGAAAAGTGATGATTTTTAATTACTATGACAAGTCAATAGCATGAGCAGCCCTGTCTGCTGCATGAGTTACCCTGGTTGGGAAATACTTCTGTCTTCCCTAAGGGAGATAGGCTTGGAGTAAGATTCTTTTAAAACTTCTTGGAAAATACTTTCAGTTTGACTTAGTGGAGGCTTGGTACCACCATATCCACTTCGCCATTCTGTCAGTTATTTTGCTGAGCAATGGCATGTGAATATCTGGTGCAGCAGAGCAGTGTTCTTCCTCAAGCAGAGATGCACCCACAAGGCTGAATTACCTTTGAGATATTTGAAAGACATGATGTGTTCAGCTAGTGTTCAGCTAGTGAAAGTCAGCTGCACGGTGTGAAAATGCGCTTGTGTCAGTCACAAGGAGAGTGACAAGGCTTAATGAAAATGAGAGGTGGCAAGTTTTGGAAAATAAACTGGCAAGCTAGCTTAAGCCCCAGTTTTGCAAGCTGTTTTGCTTAGGTTGATGTTTCTGAAGATCTGTGTTGATTTTTATTCAGCAGTCTGCCTGTACAGAACAGCTCGAAATCTGAAAGCCTCTGTGATTTTCATGCTGTAACACATGAGAGCATATGTTTATGCAAGTGTTGACTGATGTTTTAAAAATAGCTTAAACATAATTTTTAATCTTTTTTTTTTTAATTCTCTTCCAGAGTTCTTGTCTCAGCTTTTCAAGGCTGAGGGGTATGAGCAAGTGGTCAATGAGTATGTGCAGCGAGAAACTGTGAATAGGAAAGAAGACTTGTGTGTTCCAAGAGTTTTTCTTCAAGGCAAATTTCAAAAGCCTTTCAGTAAGACCTAAGTTCTTGCTGATTAGCAGCAGCATTGCTTGTTTGAAATGGAGGCTAGCACATATTTATTTTCTTGTTCATGCTCACCTTTCTGGCAAACCAGAAACTACTGTGTCCAGTACCTCTTGCTGGTTTTCATCCTCAGATGCCAAGTATGAATGCAATTTCTAATTAAAATTTAAGATGGTTTAGTGATGCAGGCAACCTATTGAGCATCTGTATTCCTGCTTCTCATCTAAGTCCTGTGCAGCACTGTTGGAGGATCAGGTAAAGCACACTAAATATGGTTCATTTTAAGCACTGGTTTCATTAGTTATTACCGTAATTGTTATCTCCATTTTTATTAAAACTATTTTAAAAATAAGTGCCCTCTGTTTCCTATCACTTATTTTTTTGTTGCCTGTTAAAGTTACAGTATTGCATCTGCTTTCAGTACTTGTGGGGCTTCTGAGTATAATTTCACAGATACAGGAATGAAACAGGCTCAGTGAGTGGTATAATGTGAGCTGCTTTGGTATTTTAATAATGGTATCTTTTTAATGTGCTCATCACTTAGATATGTAAACAAATGTCTTTATTCAAAATAGGATCTGATTTATCTGATTTTGTGCTTGAAGAAAGTTGTTAGAGGATCAGATTGTCTTCATCACTAATTAATTTCAGACATTTGTCATTTGATGAGCAGAAGTAGTGACTGCAAGTCAGTTCCCATTTGGAAGTGAAATCAGTGAGTCAGAAGTACTTTCTTTTGTATCAAGTGTAGTCAACTTCTTCTATCCTGAGCAGAGGTCTTAATTGTTTTCTATCACTCTCAGGAAGAATGTTGATCTTTGCTGCTCCTATCACTCAAAGCAAGTCACTGTATTGATGCTATGGCTTATAGTCTGCCACAAACTTAACTGCTTAAAGGAAATTCATCCTTTCCCTTCAACAGCCCTGGCATTTTGCACTGCAGAATGTCTTTGTTCTTGGATGATACAATCTCAAAAACATGCTTGGACCTTTACCCTGCCTTTTGAACAGCTGCTCTGTAGCAGAGGAAGCTCCAAAGTACCTGGTGACTTGTGCAGTGGCCTGTGCGAATCTTGCATAATGCACACAAGTTGCAACAAGGGAACTTCCAGTGAAATACTAAGATTTTTAGTTTTTGTGTGTAACGGGAGGTCAGATTCTGGGACAGGGCCCAGAGAGGTTGTGTTTGTAACCTTCATCCTTGGACATACTTGGAAATAGACTGGGCAAGGCATTGAGTAACCTGTGGCTTTTTTGAGGGTGGCTCTATTCTGAGTAGGGATTTAATATCTTGCAGTGTATATTAGTATGTGATTGATTGACTTGGGCTGTCATTCCACTGGACTTGTGTTTTGCTAGATGACCCAGTCATACACATCTGATGTGGACCAGAGGTGAGTATTTGCCTCTACTTATGACAAACTAGCCACAAGATGTGATAATGATACATTTGTTGTTTGGTTTTTTTTCAGCACTCTTAACTCTGGCTTGTTTGTGCACGAAGGGAAAGAAACAGTCACTTTTTCAGCCTCATGTTACAAAGTGAACCAGTCAAATGTTTTTAACAAATTGAGAGCTACCAGAGGTCTTACTGGGTTGGTATGCCTATAAGTAAATTTGCAGTAGATCACTGCTTTGTGTCGGGGCATGACAGCATTTTTTAGGTCAGCTACCATGAGCCTCAAAGCTGGATTTATTGTATCTTCAAACTTTGGCCTCAGAGGAAGAAGCAATTAAACCACACACTTCTTGTAATGGCTCTTTGAGGAGGGCTATTACATTACATCTCGTATTTTTATGGAGAGTATCATCCTGAGGATTTATGAATTGCTGACCCCTGCTGTGCAACCCATTAGCACTTGCTGCCATACTGGTAATAAATATCTAGTAACATTTATAGTAAATGAAAAAATATATTAAAAAGGTGTATAACAAAGATACCATTATTTTAATCTGAGCAGTCATCATGTTGTGGCTTCCCTCAGCAAATGCTCATCTTTAGTACAGCAATTCTGTGATGACTGCTTGTAGTCTGAGCTCCATTGAATTTTAGTGGGGTCTGGACCCCACAACACCAAGTGTCCTTACAGGACCAGGTGAACAGAATATATAGCACATGAATGAGACTGAAAGATTGCCTTGTGTGGTGCCTCATCACTTTGGCATGAGATTGTCAGCATATGCAAAGGCACATGCCCTGAACTGCGCATCCCAAAAAAGAAATGAAATGTAGAAAAGTATTACAAATATTATTCAGAAGGTTTGAATCAGCCAAATAGTCTGAGCTGCAGAAAGCCATTAACTTCATTTTTATGCTGAACAAAATATTGCCTGAACAATAATATACTTTTTTTGTGGCTAGCTGTAGCTAAAGTATTTCTGTGTATTTCTCCTTGAGGAGCTACTGTCACTTCTTGTGCAGCAGCATATTAAATGGAGAGCAGTATTTCTAATTTTTTTCTCATTCAGTCTCATTTCCAGTCAGACCCGGAAAATAAAGTAGCTTGCATTAGTGCCCTTGCCAGAAAGGCCTACAGCTGGAGTTATAAAGCAGAGGTTATATGGAGATATGTGATCAGAAAACTTTATTTGCTCTCTATTACTCTGCTTCTGTGAACTCTAAATCATTGCAAGTTTTCACAACTGTGGTAAAGTTTGAGGAAGCTGAGTCAGCTTTAAGAAATCCTTGCCTCCTCGTGTGACACACAATGGCTGATGGGGTGCATGTGGCTATTGTAGTGCTGAGTAAAGTGAGTATATTCCTCAACCCTTCAGCCTTTCCAAGTTCGTGTAGCCTCACCACAGGTAGCACATGCTAAGGAAATCTGTACCTAGTGTACTTAACTGAAAAACTGTCCTTAGGGACAATAAATAGTCAAGGTAAATAGTGTCAAATAGACTTGGAAAAAATATACATGCATGGAATCAAAGAATCATGGAATGGTTTGGGATGAAAGGGTCCTTAAAGATCATCTAGTTCCAAACCCCCTGCATGGGCAGGGACACCTCCCACTAAACCAGGTTGCTCAAAGCCCCATCCAGCCTGGCCTTGAATGTTTATAGGGATGGGGCATCCACACCTTCCCTTAGCAAATTCCAGTGTCTCACCACCTTCACACTAAAGCAGTTCTTCCTGAAACTAATCTAAATCTAATCATGCTCACCTTGCGCAAACAAGCTACTAGGCTGTCATTGTAGTAAATATCTTGATTTCTTTTTGATTTGTCTTCAGTCAATGGGGACTGCTGATACTGACTCAACTGTCTATACAAGATCTCCCTTTTGTTTCCTTTAAGCTGAGATAGCTGCTGTATCTGGCAAGCATAAGTAGTAAGTTACTTCATGCCACCACCTTGTTCTTAAGCAATATTTAGAATAGAAGCAAATTATTACTGAAGCACCAGGACTAAGAAAACCCAATTTATTTATTTTTTAATATTTCTTAACTGTTTGCTGCACTGAGATTACATTATCTGATGTTTAATAAAGTACTAATTGTGTTTAAAGCTTTTCCTGCCATTAGGGAATCCTAAATGTTGCTTTCCAGTGTGAGTTTCTCTGATGTCTCTCCTGGAACTAAGCAGCATGTATTAAGGGATTGTGTTAATGGGGCAGTGTCTCAGTGAGGGCATTAGTAAGGTCTGTTTGGTTCTTTTCATCAAATTTACCAAAAATGTCTTTGAGTCTTTTGACCTTTTGTGTCCTTTGCTGTTGTCAAGTTTAGTTGATATTGTCCAGTGTTTTTGACAACAGGCTGAGACTAGACAGAAATCCATGCATGTGTCACACATATATTGTATGCATGGATAAGCTTTCTTCTTTTAGGAATATGGGAGGTTTGTGTGGTTCATTTGATAGCTAATTGGATATTTCTGGGCGTCTTTCAGGTACGTGAAAGTTCCTTGGATTTCAAAGGCGTAGTATTTAAGCAGTTAATACGACACTTTCTCCATGGTTGATTGTGCATCATTTCTATGACACAAAGTGTGACAAAACTGAGGCCTGAAACTCTTGCATCTATAAACATCAGTAGACAACTGTAAAACACACAGCCTTGGTCTCATAGGAGTAAACTGGTATATGAAATCTGAAAGGTCATTTATAGACCTAACTGATGTTCTTTTTTTTCTCTTGATTTGTTGTACAGTTTATACATCTGAATATATTAAAAGATGCAAATTACCAGTTAGAAAGTATTTTACTGGAAGGGTTATTTGAAATGTATATGTATTTGAAGACAATATCAGTGTTGAGCATCAGTATGTGAAGGAAAAAAGGTAAGATTATGTTTAAACCTCAGGGCAAAAAAAAGAGTTTTCTGAGTTTCACAGGCCAGGGATGACATGCAATTGAATGAGTTTTACGAGGTGAAATTTAGGGAATGGAAGCCTGCAGCTTTCAAAACTAGACTGATGTTACAGGCAGGCAGAAAAGGGACATCTAATTGTGTGCGATGTTAGTAATACAAGATGATCTGGGAAGCTGAATTTTTAATTGGAAGCACAGTATGAAGATACAGTTAATGACAATGGGTAACTCTTTTTATTGATTTTTACCTGCCATAGTGTAGCTATGATGAATTTTTCACTCATTATGCTTGTTGTTATTAGGAAAGATTGTGAGCTATTTCAAACATTTGGGAGCAAACATTTACTAGTTATACATTATGCAAAACCATCTCACCCTTGAGTGTAGTAGGTTCAGGGTATGAGTATGTTTGTGCTCCGTATTTGTCATGTGAGTTCGTTTATTAGAACCAAGACAGATGGTGGGCCTTTACTGTGGGGAGGCTTACAGAGGCATTGCTTGCAAAGATAAAAACTATTAGAAAGATAAGATGTTCCATTAGAGAACTTTTTCCACTCCCACTTCCCAGGCTGATGTGTACCATATGTTGTGTTTGCAGCAGGGAGATACTGCTGCTGTGAAATCAGGGAAGACACAAGGAAAAGAGTGTGCGATTTTATTTTTATTTTTTTCCAAATGACCAGTGATTTTGTCTACCTCTACTTAAATGATGATGGGTTGGGAACATACATCCCTTTTGCAGCAAGTCTTAGGAATACTGAGTCACTTCTGAAGGTCTTTGCCAAAGACATGGGTGTAACCGAGGCATGCTCATAGAATATGTGAAGTGAAATTTTTGCAAAGGCAGATGTGGGACTGAAAATATAAATTCAGGCTTGTTTTTCTCCCTTGGCTTGTAAGAAACTTTAAACTTCAGTTCAGTGCTTTTTCAGTGTACCCACTCTGGGGTGCCTGTGCTGTCTTGTTTAAGCTTG